AGCTAAATATTGTGTTTTTATCTGTTTAAGGTATCCCTTTACATTGAAGGATGTATTCTTAAATATACTTTCGTAATAAAGCCAACAAGTTATTCACTGGTCCTGTCATTTTGATTCGTACCACGTGAATCTTAGCACACTTTATTCATTTAATATTTCCCCTGTATCATTACTGTCATTTCGGCTGTTCTCCACATGTGCCCAGCCTCTAGCACTGTCAACAGCTCACAGCAGAGCAGCACTTGATGAATCTACACTGACACATTATAATCATCCATAGTCTACAGTCGACATTAGGGTTCACTCTAGGTGTTGCACAGCCTGTGGGTTTTGACAAATGTATAATGACACGTATCCACCCTTATAGTATCATACATGGTGTTTCACTCCCCTGAAAATCCTCTGTGCTCTGCCTATTCCTCCTTCTCTCCTCCCTAACCTCTGGCCGTCCCTGACAGTTTTACTGTCCCCACAGTTTTGCCTTTCAGAATGTCACATGGTTGGAAACATACATTATGTAGCCTTTTCAGATTAACTTCTTTCACTTATGAATACCCATGTAAGTTTCTTTGGTGTCTTTTCATGGCTTGATTTTTTTTTTTTTTTTTAAGGGAGGAATAGTATTCCCTTGTCTCCATATATCTCTGTCTAGTTATCCACTCACCCAGTGAAGGAAATCCTCGTTGCTTATATATTTAGGCGATTATGAACAAACGTGCTATGAATATCTGAGTGCAGGGTTTTGTGAGGGCATAAGTTTTCAGGTCATTTGGGGGGAATATCAGAGAGCACAACTATTCATTCCTGTGGCACGAGTACATTTAATTTTAGAAGAAACTGCCAAACTGTTTTCCAAAGTGGCTGTAGCGTTTTGGCATTCCTACCAGCAATGACTGAGAATTCCCGGTGCTCCCACATCCTTGCCAGCATTTGGTGTTGTCAGTATTTTGGATTTTGGCCATTTTAATAGGTGTGTAGTGGAATCTCGTTGTTGTTTTAAATGTTTATCTTTTTAGTTATAAATGTTTATTTTGAGAGAAAGAGTGAGAGAGCAGAGGAGGGGCAGAGAGAGAGAGGAGAGGTAGAATTCTCTGAGCTGTCAGCACAGAGCCTGAAGCGGGGTTCAAACTCACCAACAGTGACATCATGACCAGAGCCAAAATCAAGAGCTGAACACTCAGCCGACTGAGCTGCCCAGGCACCCTTCATGTTTATTTATTTATTTTGAGAGTGAGAGAGCATGAGCAGTGGAGGGGCAGAGAGAGAGAATCCCAAGCAGGCTCTGCTCTGTCAAGTCAGAGCCTGACGCAGGGCCCGATCCCATGAACTGTGAGATCATGACTGAAGCCCAAAGCAAGAGCCGGATGCTCAACTGACTGAGCCATCCAAGTGCCCCTCATTGTTGTTTTAATTTGTAATTCCCTAATCTTAAATGATGTTGAGAATCTTTTCATATGCGTATTTGCCTATATATGGTGTATCTTTCTACATTCCTTTACTTCTAACCTGTATGTGTTTTTATGTTTAAAGTGGGTTGCTTGTAGGCACCGTATAGTTAAGCCTTGTTTTTTGATCCCCTTTGACAGTTTCGGCCTTTTAATTGGTGTATTTAGACCACTGACCTTTAAAGTTCTGTTGGATTAACATTTACCATATTTGTTAATGTTTTCTGTTTGTTGCTCTTTTTCTTTGTTCCCACTTTGTCTTCTGTACTTTTTATGCCTTGTGTGGTTTAATTGGAGAACATTACATGATACTGTTTTCTTTCTTAGCATTTCAGTTATATATATTAAAAATTTTTTCTTAATGTTTATTTTTGAGAAAGAGAGAGTGACAGAGTGAGAGTGGGGGGAGGGGCAGAGAGAGAGGGAGACACAATTCAAAGCAGGCTCCAGGCTCTGAGCTGTCAGCACAGAGCCTGCTTCAGATCCTCTGTTTCCCTCTCTCTCTGCCTCCCCACAATAAGCATTAAAACAAATTTTTTTAAATAAAAAAACAAACCCATGAAACACATTCTTTACTTCTGTTACAGTGTTTTTGATATTTGGCATTATCTTTGATTCTTAGAATTTTCATCTCTCTGCTTACATTATCTACCTGTTCTTGTGTGTTGTCTACTTTTGCCATTAGGGCCCTTATCATAATCATAGTTGTCATCATCGCCTCAATCATAGTTGTTTTAATTTCCTGATCTGGGGGCGCCTGGATGGCTCAGTCAGTGAAGCGTCTGACTCTTGGTTTCCATTCAGGTCATAATCTCACAGTTCGTGAGTTTAAGCCCTTCATCTGACTTTGTGCTGACAGTGTGGATCCTGCTTGGGAGTCTCTCTCTCCTTCTCTCTCTGCCCCTCCCGCACTCTCTCTCTCTCTCAAAAGAAATAAAAAAACTTAAAAAAAAAAAAGAAACTGCAATTGAAAAATTCCTGATCTGTTCATTCCAACATACCTGCCATATTCAAGGCTGCTTCTCATGCTCACTCTGTCTTCAAACTGGGTTTTTTGTTTTTTTGCCATTTAGTATGCCTTGTATTTTTCTGCTGAAAGCTGGACATGGCGTATTGAGTAAAAGGATCTGTGGTAAATAGGCCTTTTGCGGTGTGGTGTCCTGTGGAACTGTGATTGGGTCTCAGTCTTTGAATGAGCCTATATCCCTGAGTTGTGACCTTCCCAAGTGCTTCTGTTGTATTTCCACTTAAATGGCACAGGATGTCTAGAGTGGGCTAGACTTGGGTGTTGCCCTTTCCCTGAGTTGTTTAGATTCTGATAAGACTCCAATAGGTTAGGCTTTGGTAAATCAGTTTATTTGGAGAGCTGGCTTTCTTTTTTTCTTTTTAAAATTTTTTTTAAAAAAGTTTATTTATTTTGAGAGAAAGAGACAGAGAGAATGAGCAGGGGAAGGGTAGAGAGTGAGATGGCTCTGTGCCGTCAGCGTGGAGCCTGATGCGGGCCTCGAACTCACAAACCGTGAGATCATGACCTGAGCCGAAACCAGGAATGGGACGCTCCACCAACTGAGCCGCCCAGGCGCCCTCAACAGGCCTTCTTAAGTACAGAATGTTCTGGTGTGTTTCAAAGTGGTTAGCTTTTCCCTCCTGCGGATGGAAGTGTGAGGGCTTTCTCTCAGATATTCACTGTGAGAACCTACTATGGCTTCTGGAGATAAAACAAAAGTGTGGGGGCTTCCCTATGACTGGAACCCCTTGAGTTGTATTTTTTAAATTTTTATTTAAGTATGTATTTATTTATTTAAATTTATTTACTTTGGGGAAACCCTGGAGTTTTAAACGCTTAGGCTTGGCCTCGCTGGAGCCTCTAACAATTTGTCAGTTATGCTACGGGTTCTCCTCCGCTCGTACGGGTGCCCGCGGAGGTCCTATTTGTGCTCCGTTGTCAGCCTCTCCAGGGTTGGGGCAGTGGTTTGCCCTGTGACCTCCCGTCTCTGATGGATTTAAGAAGAGTTGTTGATTTTTCAGTTTGGTTAGCATTTTAGTTGTTAGGATGGAGTGATAACTTCTAAACTTCTCGTGTGCCTGACTGGAGGCTGAAAGTATCTCTACCGATTTTAAAATTGGGTATTTTTAAAAATTATTGATCATAAGACTTATTCATATAAATTCTAAATAAATTCATATTTATTCTAAATATAAGTCATAGGTTTGTTTTGTTTTGTTTTTAAAGTAGGCTCTACACCCAACGTGGGCTTGAACTCACAACCCTGGGATCAAGAGTCATATGTTCTACCAACTGAGCCAGCCAGATACCCCACTCCTAGTTTACTTTTGACTTTGTGGGTCTTTTAGTCCTCTAGGTTTGTTTATTTGTTTCCAGTTGGCCATATTTATCCATCTTTCATGTTACAGCTTTGTGCTCTGCGCCCTGTTTAGAAAGACCTTTCCCACTCAAAAATATAAAAAGTATTCAGTCACATTTTATTCTGATACTCATGACTTCCCTTGTTTTTACATTTTAATCTTGGCCAACCTTACTGAGCTGGAAATAAAAATTATTCCAATACCAAGAATATCTTTAGGAAAAGTGGGTAGAATTGTTATAATTAGGCAGTAATTTTTCTGTTTTGGACGTTTGGAACCAGGATGGCTTTGCAAAATTGTGAAACTAGTGTGTGGCCTCATCTCCTCCCACAAGATGCCCTTTGGTCCCGTCGCTCAATGCTCTTATGCTGTCATGTAGCTTTTCTTAAAAGCTCTGCATGATCCTTAAAAGCTCTGCATGATCCTTAAAAGCCTGGGTGGCTCAGGTAAGCAGCCGACTTCAGCTCGGGTCATGATCTCACAGCTCGTGGGTTCAAGCCCTATGTTGGGCTGTGTGCTGACAGCTCAGAACCTAGAGCCTGCTTCCAATTCTGTGTCTCCCCCTCTTGCTGCCCCTCCCTGCTCGTGCTGTCTCTCCCCCCCCATCAAAAACAAACATTAAAAATGAAAAAAAACCCACTGCACCTGATCAGTTCTCTGTTGGCTGGTGCAATCCAGTGGTGAGCTGATAGTAAACCCCAGCTTAGGAAACAGGGTTGTTCATGTGGATGACTCTGTGCCGAAAGCATGGGAACAGCCTGGAAAAAAAAAAGGAAAAAAAAAAAGAAAAGAAAAAACAGGGGAACAAAAAAAGAAAAAAAGAAAAATAAAAATAAAAGGCGACACCTGGGTGGCTCAGTCGGTTAAGCATCTGGCTCTTGATCTCCGCTTAGGTCATGATCTCACGGTTTGTGAGTTTGGGTACCACGTTGGGCTCTGTGCAGTGATGGCATGGAGCCTGCCTGGGATTCTCTCTCTCTCCCGCTCTCTCTGCCCCATCCCTGCTTGCTCTCTCTCTCTCTCTCAAAATAAATAAATAAATACACTTAAAAAAAAAAAGAAATCATAGATCTTGCTTTGGATTTTGATTTACTCCTGAATTTTCTAATAATTCAAATGATATTTTGATCATCCAAGACTTAAACAGTAAAAAGACTCCATTTTCATAACTTTTTATTTATTTATTTAAAAACTATGGAATACTTCATGAATGTGCATGTCATCCTCGCACTGGGGTCATGGTAATCTTTTGTGTATCATTCCAATTTTAGTATATGTGCTGCTGAAGGGAGCACCATAACTCTTTATTTTATTATTTTATTTTATTTTTTAAAACTGAAGGTCTTTTTTAAAATAATTTTTTAAATATTTATTTTTGAGAGAGAGAGCAAGCAAAGCGACTGAGCATGCGTGGGGGAGGGGCAGAGAGAGAGGGAGACCCAGAAGCTGAAGTAGGGTCCAGGCTTTGAGCTGTCAGCACAGAGCCCGATGTGGGGCTTGAACTCCCCGCACTATGAGATCATGACCTGAGCCGAAGTCGGACACTTAACCGACTGAGCCCCCTATGTGTCCCATAACTCTTTATTTTAAATGGCATTTGATTATGACCCTGTCTTGTTGGATTGGGCCCAGCATTCTCTGTTTTGCAGTATAGTGATCAAAGAAAATGTGTTATCTTATTTCTTGACATTGAAATTATTTCTATACATAGCCAGATGGTGTTATTAAACTGAATCTCATACTAATTTATTGTGAATAATGTAAAATGTCTTTGAGACTTTTAGATACTATGTGTAGTACATATATTACAGCTGAGGTAAAAAAAATATGTTCTAACACCTTTATTAAATTTTGTCTCACAAGTACAAGACATTTTGTTTTAGTAAATTATGGATATTTCTTATTCTGATTTTCTTTTTAGTCGTATTAGTTTATCAAACTGGTTTCCTAGTAACTATTAAAATAAGAGCTTATATTCCTTGGCTATATGATTGTCTACCATTCTTTCTTTCCATCCCCACATCTTATATTTTGATTACAGTAGCCATGGATCGTTGGTGGTAGGATTCAAATGAGAGGTCAGTTATATACGGGAACAAATAAGTAAAATGTCTTTATATGAGTAAATAAAGCTGTGGTTGATTGGCCAAATGTGATTATAAACATTTTCATATTAGTTTTTGTCAGATCTAGAGGTATAACTAATACTCCTGTTTCAGGGCTATGACCACGAAAGCTGTGTGAACTGTTAGAGGAAATCTTGTAGTTCAGTTCTAAAATGTGAGCCTCATGAAGGACAATTGGCAAAGCATGGCATGGACAATTTAGGAGATATTCTTCTTGTTACTGGCAATGCCCTAGTAAATAGCCTGAAATTTTAGCGCTCAAAGTGAAGAGGACACTTTAGATCTTTATGTTGAAGTGGCAAAGGACCTCTTCTGAAAAATGTAAAACATCAAGAGTGACCTGTAGTGATGTCAATCATTATCGGTCATTATGGTGTTCTGAACTTCTTCCAAGTATAGCCATCTGTCCTCTAGTGCCGGCTGAGCTTCCTCATTTAGATTCTGTTGGACAAGGGATTACGAGTGAAGAAATGAGGCAGGTGTGGTTTCCTTGGCTGGGCTGATTACCTCATTTCTGGATTCCTGAAATTGATGTCTTTCTTTCTTTTTTGTTTTAAATTTTTTTTTCAATGTTTATTTATTTTTGAGAGAGAGAGAGACAGCACGAGCAGGAGAGGGGCAGAGAGAGATATAGACAGATAATCTAAAGCAGGCTCCAGGCTCCAAGCTGTCAGCACAGAGCCCGATGTGGGCTCGAACTCACAAACCGCAAGATCATGACCTGAGCCGAAGTCAGACACTTAACCAACTGAGCCAGCCAGGCTCCCCTGAAATAGCTTTCTTTTTCTTTTTCAGTTTTAAAAAATTTTTTTGTAATGTTTATTTATTTTTGAGAGAGAGAGAGACAGACAGAGAGAGAAAGAAAGACAGAGAGATAGAGGATGAGTAGGAGAGAGGCAGAGAGAGAGGGAGACACAGCATCTGAAGCAGGCTCCAGGCTCTGAACTGTCAGCACAGAGCCAGACGCTGGGCTAGAACTCGGGAACAATGAGATCATGACCTAGGCCAAAGTCAGACGTTTAATCGACTGAGCCACCCAGACGCCCCTGAAATAGGTTTCTAATCAATTTCCTTGTATCTAGTCTTCCTTGCAAGTCAATCTTCACTACTATTTCTTTGACTCTGCCAGATTCTAAATTTTTTTTTAATGTTTTATTCATTTCTGAGAGAGAGAGAGACAGCGTGAGCAGGGGAGGGCCAGAGAGAGAGGGAGAAACAGAATCTGAAACAGGCTCCAGGTTCTGAGCTAGCTGTCTGCACAGAGCCCGACGCGGGGCTCGAACCCACGAACCGTGAGATCATGACCTGAGCCAAAGTCAGCTGCTTAACCGACTGAGCCACCCAGGTGCCCTGACTCTGCCAGATTCTACAACATGGCTTTTGTTTTCATCTTCTGCTTTCTTGCTTAGAAACTTCACAGACTCCCTACTTCCTACTATTTTAAGTCCATGGCTCACAATCTGATGTTCAAGGCCCTTCGTAATCTTGCCTAACCACCCATTTCATGCACTTGTTTTGAGAGTCAGCCACTGAGCCCCGACAGCTAGGTCAGAGCCCTGCTGGAACCAGTAATAGAATTTAAACTCGGTAGCACCAAAACAATGACCTGGGATTCAACTATCTGTTTCCAGTTCCAGGACATAATACAGACAAAGGCTAATATCTGTGTCTGAAAGACTTAAGAGAGAGAATGGGGTGGGTGTTGTGTGTTAGGCTGGAAAGTTCAAGATTTAATCTTTGTGTGTAGAAGTGTGGTAGAAGTTACTAGCTACATATTTTATGGAGTTCCTAGTACCTGCTGGTAGGAATACGTATAGCTTGTTAAAGGAGCCGCCACACCGAGCTTTTCATCTCCTTCATCTCCACCCCCCACTGCATGTCCCCCTGTGCCCTGAGCTGGGCTGTGTGGGGAGCATTCTCCTTTGGACTATAGCCCTACTCTGGCCCAGATACTTCAGCTGAGCTTAATGGTGCCAGGAGGAGTCCAAGATTTTTTTGTATGAAAAATCTGTGTTCCCAGTACCCAAATCCTTCCCTGGTAGAGGAATTTCAAGGGCAGCTCAAACAGAAGACTCCAGGAATAAATAGCAAGTGCTGGGACATGGCGAGCCAGAGAGATCAGAGCAAGCATCTAGAACACTGTATGGCATACAGTAGGTGCTTACATATTAATCACGGAATACAATGCAAAGTGTAATGAGGAGCGCAGGCATTGTCTGCAGATAGGTTTCTTGGGCAAAATTAGGGTGGAGGCGGTTGGGAATATAATGAGTTTTAATATGTTGAGTGTGAGGTGCCTGTTTGAAGTAGTGATCAAGCAGCGGGGTGTATCTTGCTTTGGTGGCTATATCCAGCTGCTTGGTGGGCGCTTCCAAGATGAGTGTGCAGGGAGAGGTCCAGCTGGAGCTACGAATTTGGAAACCATCAGCACATAGTGATACTTGAGATCCAGGGAACGGATGATAACCTCTCGGGAATGTGCGTGGCGTAAGAGAGGAAGGAGGCTGAGGAAAGTTCTTGGGAACACCAACTCTTTTTTTTTTTTTTTATTTCTAGGAGAGAGAGAGAGAGAGACAGCGTGAGCAGGGGAGGGTCAGAGAGAGAGGGAGTCACAGACTGAAACAGGCTCCAGGCTCTGAGCTGTCAGTCAGCACAGAGCCCGACGTGGGGCCTGAACCCACGAACTGCGAGATCATGACCTAAGCGAAAGTCAGATGCTTAACCGACTAAGCCACCCAGGCGCCCCAGGAACACCAACTCTTGAGGACTGGATAGAGGCTGAGTGGAAAGAAGCCAACCAAGGAATTAGGAAACGTGACACATGCTGGTGGCATGGTAACTGAACTGAGAATTTCAGTAAGAATGGAGGGGTCAACAGGACCAAATGTTGCAGAGAAACCAAGGTAGATAGAGCCAGAATTATGTCTATTGGATATGGTCAAATGGAGATCATTGGTGACCTCAGCAAAGGTGTTTTTGGTGCAGTGATGAGATCCATTCATGTGGTTCTGAGGTGAGAAAGTAGAGATAGTAACTCTGGATTATTCATTTTAGATATGTTGCCGAGAAAGAAGAGATGAGGAAGTAGCTAGAAGCCTGAGTGAAGTAAAGGAAGGATATTTTATAGAAAGTCCTAAGCAGGTATAAAGGTAGAGGGGAAGGGATCAGGACAGTGGGAGAAGATGCAGGTAAAAGGTCCTGGAGGTTGGAGGGATCAAGATTGAGATTCTTTCTCAATAAAAAGAAATTGAGGGAATTCATGTGTTCTATCAGTCACATCTTACCAGTTCAGATCCTCTTGACCTTATTCGTCTCAGTGGCCTTTGGCTGTTGCTTGTGTACCAGCCCCTTCTCGGAGTGGGCTCTGAGGGACTTACACCAGTGCAATGTGACAGCTTCTCACCACATGCCCTGGCTCCTTCCGTGGGTGCTGAGACTCCATGCACAGTGGAGAGGAGTTAACCCAACCCAGTGGTGCAAAGCTTTGGTCAATAAAAGATGAGAGCTAGCTGTTAAGTTCTCTTTCCATCCTCCATGTCGAATGATCAGAGATGCAAGTCTTGTATTTATGATCTCTCAAAAAAGGGCCCCGTGAACTCAAGTGTGATAACAATGCACCTTCACATCAACTCTCTCATTCCTTGCTTTTCCCCTTTTCCTCCCCATTGCTTTTCTGGGATTGCACTCTCTAATAATGGGTTAGGTTGAACCAGATGGTTTCTATATGTCAAAACAGTTGAATCTCAGCACTTTCACATGGTTCAACCAAATAGCACATCAACCGTTGCTCTACCTTCTGGAGAACTCCAGCTAAGAAGCACTTAATGGTCTTAATGAAGTAGGTATAGTCACCTACTGAACGTGAGTTTGTATTAATAGCTCTCATTTATTGAGCACCTGCTGGTGGTGTTGTTTTACATATGTAATCTTATTTAACATATAAAGCAGGAATTATTTCTGTTTTACTCATGAAAAAAACTGATGTGAAAGGAAGTTAGATCACCTGCTCAGGACCGTACAGCTAGTAAGTAGAACCAGATTTCAGACCCAACTCCGGTTTTTAAGCCTACAATCTCTTTATAGGACTACGTTGTCTTGCCTAACGTACATGTGATAGGGGAGTAAAACAGAAACCATTGAAAGAGATAGACTAGAGGTAGTGAGGGCCG